TCACTTTGAGCCCCCTCTTTTATCATCAGGGTGCCCTTGAGTGGAGGCTGGGGCTCAGCTCAGCTCAGTCCTGGCACTGAGGCCCTGTGATTGCGTTACAGGGAATTATCAGGTGGCTGCACCTGGCTCAGAGAGCTCCAAGAAGGCACAGGGGTGCAAAAGGCAAGGCAAAGCACCGGTGGTTTATGAAATTAAAAAGTTCATGAGTGCCAAATCCACATGCTAGAGTGGAACTGAGAAATGGAAGAGGTCTCAGCAGCACCTTATCAGGAGGTAGGACAAGGAAATTGGAGTTGAAAGCACTGTAGTGCCTGATTTGCTATCTCTCCTCTGCACCTTGGCTGCAGGTTCTGCCTCTAGGGCTTTGTTAGGCAACTTGGGGAGAAATATTTTGTGTGTATTCAGTGGGTTCTGCTTGCAGAGACCTTTGTATGCATGAGGTGGAAAACCTGTCGGGAGAGATGGGATCCACCTTGTACCCTACAACAAACACAAACACAGGAGAGAAAAGGACAAAAACTGTAACATGTGCTTCACACAGGTTTTTTTGAAGATGGAGGATAAACTCTCCCCTGCACTTCCTCCTGAGCCTGTGTGTCTGTAAACACAACTGGTATTTGCATTGGAAATGTTATTGAGGGGAACAGTTTGTGTTTGAAGGAGCTTTGGCAGCACCTGGCTGCTGCCTCCATGGGAGAGGGGGTCATTATTGGGATCTCTGCTGGTCAGAGTGACCCCAAGAAAAGTTCCAAAGTCTCTTTTCCCAGCCCAGCACTTGAAGAAGGAGTCAGAGCTCTTCATTTCTCAGTCTCAAGCTTGTTTATTGTATCCTATCTATAAAATATTTTCTCCTGCCCTGCCGAGGTCCATCCAGCAGGACAGTTCCAGGCACTCTGCCTGCCCTCATTGCAGTGTTATGTCTTCATACTAAAAACTACGTGTACAATATTTACAATTCCTTTCCAATACCCATCACCTATGTCAGACAGTGAGCTTCTACTCTAAACCAATCCAAAAGTGCCACCATCACAGCAGAAGATGGAGGCCAAGAAGGAGAAGGAGAAAGGCTGGACATGCCCAGTTCCCTCCATCTTGCCTCCTGAACCCCCATACCAAAAACCCCAAAATCTACTTTTCCAACCCATGATAACTTCACTATCATTCTACCTAAACTGCTGTGCCTTGCTGATCTTCATAGAGGGTTGGTAATTTGCTCCAGGGGTCATAATCAAACCCACAGGTCAGGGAAGCAGATCAGGTTCTCCTTTGCTTTCATCTATGTATCTCCACTTTTTCCTCATAAAAAATCCTGGAAAAACCTTGGCATTGCTACCTTGTGAGATTCTGGCTGCAAGCACAACGTGGGCCTGCTCCTGTAGCTGCTGGTGCAGCTTGGAGACGCTCAGCAATAACATCAGCACTTGCTGGCAGTGGCACAACAGGAAATTGGAGCAGTAAAATATTTCCCTCCCATTTGCATGCTCATAATGGAGGTTTTGAAGGCCCTAATGACAAGGAATGCTCATTGCTGGGAGAGGGTGATTGAGGCAGAGCTGGGTGATTGCAGCAGCGAGGAAGGGATGTTAATTACATCAAAGGAAGCAGGAGGGCAGCACAGCTGGAGTGGCTGCTGCGATGGGGGCTGTCCTTGCCCCTGCTCCTGGCACAGATGTGCTCACCCACCCTCCCCAGACCTCAGCGAGGAGGAAATCAAACCCAAACAAACAAAAATCCCCTTCCAGCTGCAGCCTGCGACAGGAGCGAGCTGAATTTGCGCAGGGCAAACCGCTGGAGGATGGAGCAGCGCTCAGAGCAGGAACAAAGATGCTCTGGAGAGGCAAAAAGAGGGAAAGAGCCCTGGAGACACGGCTGAGGGCTCGAGGTGGGCAGGGGAGTGATGTGGTGCAGATTAAGGAGCTTCTGTGGGGTGCATATGAATGAGAGGCAGCCTTTGAAGCCCTGCAGAGGATGCTGCGCTTGTTTCATCTCCGGCAGCCAAGCTGTCTCCAAGTTCTGCTTTCTGCCACCTCGCTGGTGGAGCAATGCCCCCGGGAGCTTTCTCCTCTGATGGAACTCTAAATCTGCATTCCTGGGGGATTACAGGGATGGGTTCTGCTGCAGAAGAGGTGTTTGAGGAGTTGTGCCCCAAAAGAGAGAGAGGGAGAGATAAAGGAGAGGCCATGAATATAATTCAGCATAACAAAGAGTTAATGGAAGGATGCATAAAAGAACAAATGAGAGAGGAAGTCCTCAGCAATCGCATAGAGCCTAATTTAAGCAGAGTATTCCTGATATTTCCTCTTTAAATAAATAAAACAGCAGAGCCCAAAGTGTTTGAGTTTTTCCCAGTCAAAGCCTTGGTATCAAACTTTCATCTATTCTTGACAGAGCAATTAAAGGGAGGGATACAGGCTCTGAAATGTAGCCAAAAGGAGTAGACTGAATATTTAATACAGTTCCAGGCTTTGAAAGTCCCAACAAACCAGTGGAATGGGGAAGCTGGTGACAGTTTTATCTTAATAGGGAAAGGGAGGGGGGAAAAAAAACCAACCTTTTATTCCTGCCAGCAAGGATGGCAGGGAAACACAAACTGGATGGGAAACAGGCAGCACCTTTCCAGATTGTCTTCTTGGATGTGATAATAGCCTTTCTCAGATGGTGTTTGATGGAGAGGGAAGTGGATCTGCCCACCTGTTGTATGGAGAGGCACAAGCGTGGGGCTCTCTGAGGTTTCCTCTGAAGAAATTTAAAACCCTTTAGGGCTGAGGACAATCTCTTGTGCTGCAGCTTCTGCTCAGCGGCTGGGAGGGGGTGAAGGGAGAGCCGAACATGGAGTTAAACACGCAGGTTAGCTCGGCTGCCAGGGCTAAACCAACTCATTAAAGGGATTAGCCAGCAGCCTTGGCTGGATTTAGGAGGGTGGCTGCTGCTATCAATGAGTAATCCTGTCTGCAATCCTCTCTGGTGGCTTGGGAGCACAGGCAGGGTGGGAGGGAAGGAGGGACACGAAGGAATGAGAGGGATAATTTAAGGGAAATGCTGGAGGCACTGAAAAACTCCTCCTTGAGAGGGCATGGCTTGCTGAGCAGTGAAATATTCCTTTTCGCAGTGCTCTGGTGAGCTCTGGAATGGGGCTGCACTGCCTCACTCTGCACAAACCTCCAAGGCAGAGCTGCTGGAGCAGGGTTGTGCTGTTTGGTGACAGGGAGATTGAATTTTGATTAGCTCTGACACAGTCTCTTATAACCTTTTCATTAGAAAATTACCTTTAATAGAAATTGTTCTGACACCTCAGCAGCGTTTCCCCTAACACATTACAGACTCTGGTGGAGGGAAGGGAGGGCAGGGAAATGGAAAGGTGCCTCTGTTTTTTTCCTACTTGCATATTTATTAATCCATTTACAGCATAATCCATCCCCTGTTTACCTACTGACCTACTTGTCTGTCTGTTCCTCTGCCTGCAGTATCCATCCCAACAGGGGATGTCAGCTTTCTTACTCTGAATTAAAATCTACTTCTCCTTTTCCCTGCGAAACGCAATTTTTTGGAAGAAACATTGTTTTGGGGCGAGTGCAATATTTCTTTCCAGTTTTGCCTCGAGAAGATAATAGTATAAAAGTCATGTTGTGACTTAAAATGAAAAATGAAGGCGTTCCTTTCCTAACAGTGTTTCAAAACTGTGTTTCTGCTTTATCCAAAGGCATCTCTGCCTAATTTTTAATCAGAATTTCCACCCAGCTGATGGATGGATGGGTGTTGGAGGCAAAATAAGCAGAGCAGGGATGGAAAATGTCTCCATGTTCTCATCTGGTATCAAAAACCAGCTGATACCTTGTACAACGCAGAGCAAATCGTGTCATCTCAGCCTCTTCCCAGATCTGTGTGATGGAAAGGAGGACCCGGTGTGGGAACATGAGGAATAATAGTTATTTGCAGAGCTCTTTGAGATCCTAAAAGGGAAAGCCCTGGAGAGATGTAAAGCATTATTAAAAGGGCTGCAAGTTCTTTTCAGTTTAAGGGATAATAAAATCATTGCCCAGGAGATCTGGTAGTCAAAGTTCTGAGCAGAACGTGGTAAAAAGGAAAGACTTTGGGAGACTTTTGGGCACTGAGCAGGAGGAGAGTAAAGCCAGGCTTATCAAGTTAAGTCTTATCTTGGTTCTGGGTTAAAATCAGTTTTGTTGTTTCAGCCACCATTTCCTAAAGCACTAAATGTGTTTGGAGCTTGAGAATTTGAGCAGTTTTTGGTACTTAATCACATTTCAGTCAGGCGTTTGGGCCTAATTTCTCATTTGAATTTCTTTGGCTTCATCTTGCAGTCATTGGGCTGTCTCTTTTTCTAATTTTTTTTTTATCCTTCCTAGATTAACGAGGCCTTTAGTACCTGCTATTGTCTCCCCACAAAGGCTTTTATCTGCTCTAGTCAAGTCACTTCTCAATCTCTGATAAACTGAAAGGATTGAGCTCTCCAGGGAGGATGGATCAGTGCTCTCAGCGTGCTCTGCATTTGCTTTGGTCTTTTCCAGGGAAAGCCCTGTCCACACACCAGCCCCACTCCAGTGAATTCCCTTTTTTTTTTCTTTTTTTTTTGTTTTTTTTTTTTTTTTTGCCATATTCCTCCCCTTAGATCTTCGGGCTTCCTGCAAATTTCATTAGGATTAATTTAATTCTTCATATCAAGATTATTGAGGGGAGCTGGAAATGTGTTAAAGCTCCACTTGTGCCTCTCTCTCTCCCTCTCTGCAGTGTTCTCTCCTCCATGGACAGTCCCTTCCATCAGAAATAGGATTCTTAATCCATTTATCACGTGCTCCACCGATATCATATAACACTAATTTTTTAATCAGAAAGTTGTGAGATACAGAGTCAAACATCTTACAACAGCTAAATATATTATATCTTTGCAGTTACCCTTATCAACCAAACTTGTAATCTCATCAGAGAATGAAATCAGATTTGACTGACAAGACCTATTTTCCATAAAACCATGTTGACTGATGTTAATTATATTTCTGCCCTTTAATTCTTTATCAATTGAATCATACATCAGCTTTCCTGATTGCTTTGCCAGGGACAGATGTTGGCTGGCCTAGATTCCCCTGCTCCAGCTACGACATCCAGGCTGCCAGCTTTGCTTCTCCTTCCTTTTCCAGGGAGGTGGGAAGGTGTGAGCTCTCACTGCGAGCATCCCCATCGAGCATTCCCAGCCCATTTTCACCCTGCAAAGAGCACAAAGGGCCGGGATTTTTGAAGCCAGGGTTTGTGTAAAGTTGTGAGTCCCTTTCCCTGCTCCCTGGGATGCTCTGGTGCTGCTGCATTCTCTCCCCTGGGTTTGCAGGCACCAGAAGCAATCAGCTCTCTCCTGCCGCCTGACACTGTCGGATTTTTCTTCCATCTCCCGATAAGAACTAACCTAGCATTTTACAACTGTATATCTGAAATTAGTAGCAGCTTAATCTCCCTCTGCTGGATCACTCAGAGGTGTAATTGTGCAGAAAAAAGGGTATTAAAATGCAAAACGCACTCCTATACTTCTTCGTGTTAAATCCCTTCTTCCTTCTATTCTTTTTTTTTTTCATTTTACAAGAGGGCTTTTACTTTTTGCCTTCTCCCCATGTGTGTGTCTGTGTGTCTTCATAAAGAAAATGAGCAGGGCACGCAGAGAGAATAATTTCTATTTCTACATAAATCTCAGAAATGAATACTTAAATTCAAGCAAAAAATACATTCTTACACCTTTAATTTCCTCTCTATGAAGTATAATGAAAAAGCCTGATTATTTTTAATTCTTCCCTTTAATAATTCAGCAGCGGAGTGATTTAAAGCTGGGGACGATAATTACCTTTTCACTTTCCTGGTAAATGGAGTTTTAATAGAAATGGAAGCTCAAATGCTGGAATTAATTCAAACAGGTCAGCATCAGGTCATCCATAGCATCTTCTGTATAAATCATTTATCTGAAAAATGGCCTGCTTCTCAATTTCCCAGGCATCCCTAACCAGGGGCTATGTTTAAACAGAAGACTCAATGTTTATATCTTGTAAAGCATGAAGGGGGAAAAAAAATGTTCAATCCACATCATCTTGGAGGGATTTTTTTTTTTTTTAATGCAAACGAAACTGCTGTTTGAAGGACAGGGAAGCAGGGGCTTGTCTAGATTAGGGAAATTCAGCTGTAGCTACAATGATGGTTGGCTGTGGAAGCTTTCCCAGATCCCATTATCTGAGCAGTTTGTGCTGCTCACTCTATTTATCTTCGTGCTACACCTGCTACATCTGTTTCAGAGGTGAGGGATGGAGGTGAGCGGTGTCATCTCCAGCTGAGAGCAGACCCCCAAAATAAGGAGAAATAAGGAGTAAGCTCTGACTGCTGCCTTGTGAGCCAGGAAGGTTTGTCAGGCAGAGAGGAAAATAAAGAAAAATCTCTTTTCAGCCCTATCCGCGGAGGTGAGTTTTGTAAAAATGAGGGCGAAAAAACAACCAAGGTTTAGCCAAAGCTGCTCCTGCCCTGGGGAGGGCTGATGGACCAAGGATTTTCCAACCACAGGGCTGATGAACCAAGGATTTTCCTGGCATAGGGAGAAGGGGAAAAGCTTCAGAGATCCCCACGCCAAGGCCCTGCTGTGATGGGTTCTGTGACCGTGCTCAGAGGGGTTTTTGGATGAAGGAAGAGACGAGGATCTGACTCCATGTTTCAGAAGGCTTGATTTATTATTTTATGATATATATGACATTAAAATTGTACTAAAAGAATAGAAGAAAAGGGTTTCATCAGAAGGCTGGCTAAGCTCAGAATAGAAAGGAATGATAACAAAGGTTTGTAACTCGGACTCTCTCGAGCTAGCTGGGCTGTGATTGGCCATTAATTAGAAACAACCAGATGAGACCAATCCCAGATGCACCTGTTGCATTCCACAGCAGCAGATAACCATTGTTTGCATTTTGTTCCTGAGGCCTCCCAGCTTCTCAGGAGGAAAAAATTCTAAGGAAAGGATTTTTCATAAAAAGACGTCTGTGACAGATTTGACCCCGAAGCATCCCTGTGAGATCTGAAGCTGCTGAAACACCTCCCCTGAGCATTCCTGGGGCTGCTTCCAGCTGGGATTTTTGTCCCTGCACCCTGCTCAAGTGGAAGGGGCTGGGCCAGCAGCAGGGTTTGGCTGGAAACAGGCGAAGCATCCGCGGGGTTAAATTTTTCATGAGAGCTAAACATAAACTGCCTCGTCTCTAATTAAGCACCGGGACATGGAACTTTAAAGCACTCCAGCTCTGATTCGCCACAAGTGTGTGGTAATGACTTCTTTTCAAATGTCAAGCAGTTTTGTTTCTATTTCCTTTTTCATAAATAATTGGTGCTGAGCCGGTGGCAGCACCAGCATCCAGCTGGCAGCGGGAGCCTCGTGATGCACTCCTTGCATCCAGCCAGGCATGGGGCAGTTCCAGCAGATCCCAGGTGGGGAGAGAGGTTTTCCTGCTCCCACTGCAGGGAAACCATCCCAATTTCCTTGAGGTTTCTGAATTTATTCTATCAGGTGTTTTGTTTTCATTAATATGAACCCAGCGTTCAGAGCGTGCAGGTGGCAGGAAAAGGTGGTTGCAAAAATGGAGGGTGGCAAAAAAACAATGATTTTCTGCAGGAATAAGGGGGGAATTTAATGCCTGAGGGCCAAGAGAATCCTGGCTGGGATTAAATGAAAAAATTGCATTAAAAATCTACATGGGCAGCTGTGCTGTTCCAGTGAGGGATCCAGGTGTGCTCTCCCCTTCCTGCTCAGTGCAGCACATCCTGCAGCCACCCCTGTTTGTGTTTCCTCTGCACCACACCAATATTTCTCCATCCATTACTGTTTACAGCCACATATTATCCACCCTTGCCTGGGGAACTCAAGCAAATGATTGCATTGCTGGGATGCCCAGCTCTGTCTGTAAATACAAACACAGCTTCCATCAATGACCCACCTGTCATCAATCCAAAGGGGATCAAATTGATGGGTTTTTTTTGGGGGTGCTGCTTAAAATGCTGCAGGAGTGTTGTATTTTATGAAAATGTTCATGGCAGGTCCATATTTACTGTCAGATGCCCTAATGAGAAGTTTAATATTGTCCTTTTTGCTTTCCCTCCTTTCTGCTGTATTGGCAGTGCTATAGGTGGGTGCAGTCAAAAAAAAAAAAAAAGTGTTTCAGAAATGTATAATATATATAAATATATAATATATAATAATATAAAAAATATATATTCTTTGAGAATCTCCTTGGAGAAAAGTGACCTGCTAAGGGACATCACTGCAGTGATGGAATTGATCTCCTGTCTGTCTTTCAAAGGGAATTTTTCCGATTTCCCAGACCCATCCAGCCAAGGAAGGCAGATGTCTAAACCCTGATTTTCCTTGCCTCTTGCTGCATTCCATATTTAGCCCCAGAAACATCTGAAGTGGTCATGCTGCCTATCTCAAGAGGGAAGGAAGAAAATAAATCAGACAAAATAGAAGCTGGGCTGTTTGCTGCAGGCGTGTTAAAGAAGCGTGTGGGTGGGTGTGTGGCCTTCTGCCTCAGCTGTGGGGCCGTGCCAGGGCTGATGCCTGTCCCTGCTGCCATGTGGCACGTGGCCCTTGGGGACAGCCAGCCTGCGCTGTCTGAGGTCACCAGAGAAACAGCCCTGTGTCACAGGAGTCTCACTCACAGATCACTGTACAGAGTGTCACAGACATCTTTTATGGAAAATCCTTTCTTTAGGATTTTTCCTCCTGAGAAGCTGGGAGGCCTCAGGAACAAAATGTAAACAATGGTTATCTGCTGCTGTGGAATGCAACAGGTGCATCTGTGATTGGTCTCATGTGGTTGTTTCTAATTAATGGCCAATCACAGTCAGCTGGCTCGGACAGAGAGCCAAGCCACAAACCTTTGTTATCATTCTTTGCATGGACCTGCTCACCATCAGGGCTCCTGGTCATACCCCATCCCCTCGTCCCTCCCCTGAAATGAAGCAGGCAGCGACAAAGAGAGGTAATTTGTGAGCACTGAATAATTCAAGTGACTTCCGTGCCCTGCTCCTTTTTTTTGTTGCTGCCCCTGGGGAGAATCCACCCCCTGCTACACACACGGGGCCTGGGAGAGGGGGAGCCTCTCCTGGGACACACAAACACTGCACATTTCCTTTCATCCATCCTTCCCCTGCCCATCTCTCCCTCTGTACAAACATCTCCCTTTCCACTCTTTGTTTTCCCTGCCTTGCACACACACCTCAGCCTTCCTGTGCCATCCTCCAGCCTCCCTCAAGAGCACTCCATTTCAATAGGAGATGGGACCTGGGAATTTGGCTTTAATATTTCATAAGCTTCCTTCTAAAATGTAAAGCATATTTATGTTATTTGCATCAACCACCAAGAAAAATACTGCCTTCGATTCTGCAGGCAGATCCTAACCTGCTGCCCACTTTTCCAGGGCAGAGCATAAAAACCACAATTTATTCAAAGGAAGCCTTTCTCCTATTTACATTTATATTGAATAATTTAAAACAACTTTCTCCGCTTCCATAAATTCTTCCTTGTAGGATGGGAGAACCTGTCCATGGTTAAGGAAGATGTGCCTAAGGAAACCTCAGAGCACAGCACGCAGAGATTCCTGCAGACCTGGTGGCATCTAAGGGATAATCATGCTGGGCTAAAAATCACCTGTCTCTTTCCAAATTCTGTCCCTGCCTCTTCTGCTGGGTCTGAAGGAGGGGTAGAAAGAGATCAGCACAAGCTGATGGGGGAAACAAACCCAGTTTCAACCATTTTAACTCTGGAAAAAGCTGGCAGGGCTTGGAGCTGAGCTCATGAGGGAGGCAGCTCATCAGTGGTGCCAATCTGTGATAATCAGGGAGTTCATTTAAACCCACTGAACACCACTTCCCCACTTTCATTTCCTCTCTCCTTGGCCGTGTTTAGGCTCTTTGTCTCTTATCTCTTTCTAACCATTTATATTTTCGTCACTTTCACTTCCTCAGGGTTTATTTGGCAGCGTTTTCGGAAGTTTGGGTTTTTTGCTGGATCCAGAGTTAGTGCTGTGATTCTGCACTGGTGTCCAGGTGTGTTGTCCATCACTTAGGCACAACAGCAGGGAACTGAGCCAAAAATGAAAAAATGAGTGGAGCTCTCACACCCCAATGGATGGGTGAACATCCCTTGGCAGCCCAGACAGGAACAACCAGAGAGGAACATCTCCAGTGAATCTCAGTG